GGTGCCGATGATACCGTATAGGTGACGCAACTAAGCTCAGGGAGGAGCTCGATGAAGATCTTGTCCTTTGTGTTGTTCCGTTTCCAATTGATCAGTAGTGGAGCCCAGTCGGGACGATCGGGGATCTGTGTAGCATTTGGGGTAGTCTTCTTTTATTTTGGCTCCGTAGTCGGGACCTGATTGTATTTGGATGATGTAATGCTTTATTCCTGTATTTGTGTGAAGTGGCGATTGTAAGCCAACTATGTATCTTTTCCCTTATTGTATTACATGGGTTGTTTGCGAAGATTACCTCACTTGTGACATTGCTTTCAATGCGGTTATGACTCTAAGTCGTGCTTCGACACGTGGGAGATATAGCCGCATCGAGGGCGTTACAGAGGTCTTGAAGCATGAGGAAGCGCTAATGTTGGAGTCCACAGAGCGCAACCTCGAGCTTGAGCGGTTGGAGACAAGGGAGCGTCAGGTTGCTCAGGCGGAAGATGCCGTCAGTGCACGCGAGGCCAGGATCCAGGAGGAAGTGGACCGTCAGGCGGAGGAGGCTCGCCTGACCTTGCCAAGAGGTACGAGCTTGCCGAAGCTGAGGGCAGGACCACCGCCCTTAGGTCGAGGTTGACTGAGGCGGAGCAGCGCCAGGACGCTGCATCTGCTTTGATCTCCGTGCAGGTTGAGTTGGCCTCCGCCCATGCTGAATTGCTTCCGCTTCAGCAGTGAGTTACTGCCGCCGAGTCCCTCGCGCAGTAGAGTAGGAAGGAGGCGATCCACCGACAGACGTTGCAGCACAAACATGCCCCCATGCTCCATGACCTCAGGGTGAGGGCCAACCAGGCGCTGGGCATCATCTGCGATGAATACGCCCCTCATCCTCATGCAGAAGACTATATCAGCCACCTTCGCTTCTTCACCGACGTCGTGACGCGCCTGGAGGACAGGGCTGAGAGGGCTCGCGAGCTCATCGACGAAAAGAGCCGCGGCCTCCTCGGGCGCGCGTTTTCCCGCGTCTTCAGCCATCTTCAGAATGCCGACCCCAACTTAGACTTCGACGCCGCCATCACCCCAGTGCCCGGGGCTATTCGGGGCAACCTGGCGCGCTAGGTGGATGATAACGTGGATGCTCTGGTCAGAGCTTTCGCTTTCGATGATGATGTTGTGGTGGTCGCGGCGGATGAAGGTGACGTGGTCGATGATGGTGCGGACGACGCCGGCGACGACGCCGGTAGCGTGTCCGGGAGCGATTCGGGAGATGTTGCGAGCGACATGTCCGATTGAGCCCACGCTCCTTGTTCTGAATCTGCGCACAAAAAGCTTGGGCATGGCCCCCGATGATGTGAGTGTATTTTGGAGAGGGGGAGCCCCTCATGTAATCAGACTATTGTTTTATTCCCTGAGCCAGACTTAAGGCGTGTTTTAGCGAGTTCTCAAGTTCCTCCGCGAGCTCGCCATAGTAACTTACCTTAGTCTAGGCGAGCCCCAGACTGGCCTTGTAGTTGTCGATGTGTAGTCCTCCTGAGGGGAGTCCTCCGCGGACTTGCGAGGTTTCGGGCTTCTGCGGAGCCCGCCGATCCGCCTGAGAGGGCCTTGCGAGAGACGGGGGTTAGATTACGGTGAGATGCATGCGCATACCACGCTCAACCCCCGCTCGGGAGGCACTCATGAGGAAGGGGCAGCAGGTGCCGGTCTCGAAACAAGCCACGGAGCCGGTAAACTCAAGAAATCAACACGAACGAGAAGAGATGCCCCCCATGCTTTGCCAATGAAAATACGACTGCGAGTTCAAATCCAAAAGGCGGCGAATCAAGCTACAGAAAAAGGGGTTGAAAGCAAATGGCCGCGTCCGGCACCTACCTAGTCTTCTTGTCTTCTCACCAGCATGGAGCCTAGTGCTTTTGCTGGCCGTGAGCTTATCCATTGGGGGACAGTGTCGACGGCGATGAGCATGGTGCTTCCATTAGGACATGGGCGGAAGCCCTCGAGGCCCGAGGGCGGCTCTCCGGAGACTCCGAGGCGTGTACAACCCCACTCATTATTACGTGAGAGTGTCACGGGCGGAGACCTTCATAGGCGCGAGCCTTGCTTCATATCGCCAGACGAGGGCCTCGCCTTGCGCCGCCCTCGACCACCATTGGGGCTTTCGGAAACCAAGACGAGGCCAAGGGGCAAAGGGGACGCCATTGGCGCCCTCGGCAACCATGGGCCCTCTGCCGGGGGAGGGCTCGCCGATGCCTCCCCGGCAGAGGACCTACCTCTGGGTGACGCCTTGCCCCGCGCGACACGGGGGAGGGCCTTGCTCCAGACCCCTTCCGTGCAGCCCCAGTGCGTCGCCCCTGCCTGGAGTGGGGCTGCAATGCTGGGGTCGCCGCCCGCCACTGCGGCTCGGTCCACCTACGACCCATGATTAGCATAAGCCTGCTCCTGAGATATCAGTGGTACCCTGGGGTGGTTGCCGTCGGCTGGGTCGGCGAGGCTCCTGGGTGGCTTATAGAAGGCCTCGGCCTCCAGCATCTCTTCTTCCCAGCCCGGCTCATGGAATGTGCAGGGGTCGTCCTAAGCTGCCTTGCCGGAACCTCCGCTGAGGCACCCTGTGCCCCACGCCGCCGAGCCCGGCGCGCCTTTCTGGTGGTTGTGGGGCGGTGCCCGACTGGGACCGTGAGTAGCAACGCCCGCACCTACACCACCCGGGGGAGGCAAAGGCATGGCCGGATGTCTGGTACCGCCGGTTGTGCTAACGCTGGCGAGCCCCCTGGTGCACCTGGGAGCACATGGGCGTAACGAGGCCCGTCATGTGACCTGACCACAACTTGAGATGTAAGTAGGGAGCGGAAAGGCGGCGTACCCCTGGCTGCAGCATCCAACAGCTCGGCGACGCGTTGCGCGGACGCTCTCCATCAACCGGCACCGCAGCAGCTCCCGCGCCACCACGAGCACGACTCGCATGTTCGCCTGTTCCCGTCGGGTGTGTGGCGTGTTGCTGCCGCGTAGCTTGCCGCGGCCCGCGCATGTCGTGGCGTGAGGGCGGTGGACGTCGATCCGCGCTGCCCGCGCCTGCGGGTGTTGGGCGGTGTGTGAGCCGCTTGGAGCGCGGAGTTGAGGTCTTCTGGAGCGGATGGAGGTGCTCGAGCTGGCCGGGCCGCCCAGCGGTCGTCCTCGGTCCTCGTATCGTCAGACATCGAAGGCGTGGGGCGACAGCAGGTCGGTCGATGGGAAAGAAAACCTCGGCGCACCCCTACCTGGCGCGCCAAATGTCGAATTAGGGTTCCGGCAAACCCTCGAGGTTCAAACACTGGTGTGCGCACGAAGATCTCTCTACCCCTAGCTCACGCTCTCGCAATGATCTCAAAGTCTAGCTCGCCGAACCCAAGGAACAAGGGACACAAGAGTTTATACTGGTTCGGACCACCGTTGCGGTGTAATACCCTACTCCAGTGTGATGTGGTGGATTGCCTTGTAGCCTGGGGATGGACAAGTACAAGGGAAGAACAACCTCCTGAAGAGAGGTGTTCTTGAGCTCGATGAGCTTGTGTGGTTCGGGATGATCTGAATGATCCATCCCCGGAGAGATCTCTCCTTCGGTGGTGGCTAGCCCTATTTATAGAGGCCCGGGTCCTCTCCTCAAATATTAGGCGGGAAGGGATCCCACAACGGCCAATTCGAAGGGGGACAACGAGTACAAGTTATCCTGACAAAAGGTGGTCTTCGCCTGCCAAAGGCTCTGGTGGTGACGCCGGCGTGGGCTCCATGGTGACCTCTGTCTTGCCGTCCTGCTGGTCTTGGTCTCGTTGCATCGATATGGAAACATTTATCTGACGCCTCGGGACTCCTCGCCTGCGCCTGTCTCTTTAGCACCAAAGAGGAAACTGGCACTCTGCGCCCGCTGGCGCCCGCCTGACCTTGGTCGTCATGGCTCACGTCACGGAAACCTCGCGAGGTGCCCCTCGCCTTGATCTCTCCGCTCCTCGCGAGTCTTGTGTCGTCCGCCTCGCGAGGCTTGGCGCCTCACAAGGGTCTTGAGTTTTGGTTGATGAAGATGGGCCGTACCAGGCCGCTGGTGGAGCCACGCCTTGGGCCACAGGCAGGCAAGTCTGGGTAACCCCGTTCTCAGAACACCGACAACAGGTGGTGGCGCTGTCCATGTGCAGGAGGTGCAACGAGTGAAAAAATTCCCACCCCAGGCCAAAGTTCTCGCCGGCAGCCTCCGAGGAGGCAAAAAAATGCCTCTTGAAAGGCTCAACGACTGAAGATACTCTAAAACCCTACCTATCCACTAACCGACCGAGGCATCAAAAACTGCTCTTTTTAGGCTCGGGCCTACTTTTCCGTTTTTTCGCTCGGGCCGGGCCAGGCTCGAGCGTAGACTTTGCCCGTCGGGGTTGAGCCCGGCCCGAACCTGGCCTGAGGAATGCCCAGGTTTAGCCACGGCAGTACTGCGCGCCTCGCCGGTTGCCGGCCGGAGTCCGGCTGCACCACCGCGAGCAGAAACAGAGCGCCGCCGCTCATGGGAACCGGAAGTCTCGTGTCGCCGCGCCGGAGTCCGGCTGCGCCAGTGCGTGCACAAACAGGACTCGTGTACGGCAGTACGACCGCGCCCCCCACGTGCGGTCCGACGGAAAAACACACGGCCACCAGAACGCCACGTAAGACGCGCCATTAGCATAAAGCCCCCCCAAAATTACCAGCCCCGGTGCAAAACTCTTCGCGCGGAGGGAAACCGACCTTTTTCCAGGGGGCAAATCGGAAAAGTCTACTTCCTAAATTTCCCGATCCCCTTGAACCCTACCTGCCGCCCCGCCCCCCGTCGCCCGCCCCAAATCCTCATCCGATTCCACGCCGCAAAACCTCCCCGAATCTGCCTCCGGCGCCCCCAGGCACGCCTCCGCCCGGCCCCGGGCTGCTCCGTATACCCTCGGATCCGTTGGCGCTCGGTCCCGCCGCGCCGTCCGGATCTGGGGGAGGAACTCGGCTGATTCCTAGGGTTCCTCCGTCTCGGCGCGCCAGCCGGGTCCATGAATCCCATGGGGTACCGCCCCTATGATAGCAGCGGTGAGTCGCCTCGAATCTACGTGCTTTTTTGGCCGGGTGAGCTTGGCCGGGCGGAAAAGCCCAATTATTTCGCGCAGCTTGTTGGATTCCTGGAGGAAACTGGCATAAGTTATACGAAATAGTACCTAATTACGTGAATAGACACAAAGTATAAATTTTTACTCTTGCTTTCTAGCAAAGCTGAGCCCATAGATAACTGAAAATCTGTTGAATTTATCGAACAACGTGTACATTTGCACGGCCCTGAAGAGACAGGAGCATAAAGTAGTTCCTTTTACCAAACCCTTGGTACTACAGACTCAGATTAGTTGATAACTAAAAATCTATTCTTCCCTGCGCTGTTGTGAGCTTCTCGAACCTCTTGCCCAATTGTGAATTCGTCATAGTTGCCGTGGCAGTCGCCTGACCCTGTATTGCACAAATTGTTAACAGCATCTTTTATGACCTCTGAGGTGCTTTTGCGTTATGATGACTTGCAGTCAAATTGTGCATTTGATTATTGATCCCTTGCCCTGAATCAACATGTTGTTTTGACTTTGACCCCGTAAACTTGGCCGGGCAGAAAAAATCCATTCTTTTGCATGGCTTGTTAGATTCCTGGAGGAAAATATCTGGAGGAGATTGGCATACGTTTATTGCCAAATAATTGGAATATGCACCAAGTATATATTGTGCCTCTTGCTTTCTAGCAAAGCTGAGCCGATAGATAACTGAAATTTGTTAAATTTATAGAACAATGTGTACATTTGCATGGCCCTGGAGAAGTAGTGCCTTTTGCCTAGCCCTTGGTACTGCAGATTGATTAGTTGATAAATAGAAATCCAGTCATCCCTGAGCAATTGTGAGCTTCTCGAACCTCTTGCCAAATTGTGAATTCTTCATGATTGGCTTGTCATTCGGTTGACCCTGCACTCCACAAATTATAAACATCATTTTTTATGACCTTTTATGAGGTGCTTTTGTGTTATGAGTACTTGCAGGCTTGCAGCCAAATTGTGCATTTGAATATGCTGCAGTACTGATTCCTCGCCTTGCTTGCAGGGACGGACGATGATCTCCCCTCGTCACAAAATAGAGGACTAAGAGGACGATCTTTCAGTGGGAATGGGAGAGCATCAGCTGGACCGTTTCCTTATGCAAGGCCACACAATGATTTGGAGAGCCAAGTACATCTGGTTGAGCAAGAGGCGTACACTGGTGTTCTTAGGGCATTCAAAGTTCAATCTGATGCATTGTCTTGGGTGATTATCTGCACACTGAAATTAATGGCTACATTTTCAGTAACCACTGGTTGTCCTGTTGCTGATTTCAGCTGAAAATTAATTAATACTCATGCTTTTGTGCAGGAAAAAGAAAGTCTGATTTCTGAACTCAGGAAGGAACTGAGAGTTTCTGATGAGGAACACAGGGAGCTATTAAACAAGGTTAATGAAGATGGGGCCATCCGTGGAATGAGGTCTTTGCATACAGGACCCATTTTTCCGTAACATGTTATACTTAATCGTCATATTTACCTAATCATTTACTTATCTTAATTTTTCAATAGGGAGCTGAGACAGGGAGGTGGGACCCCGAGTGGGCTGCATCGTGGCAGCAGAGTTCTTCACGATGGAGAACCTGGGCCAACTGCTAAAAGGCAACGACCATCTCATTTAATGCCTTCGCATTCTTCAGGCCTCCAGTCCCCTGTTATGTCTTCACATTCTGTCCCCTCTTCGTCAAAGTGGGGACCATCTTCAGCATCAAGGGGGAAAAGAGCAAAGTCGGTATGTTTGGAATGCTGTACGCCATGTTCTTCTGAATTCGGGTCAATTTTATGGCAATCTGTTGATGCATGTACAGACTACGCCACTGGCATTACCATCCATGGATCCGACCTCATTGATTAGCCGGAAAGTTTTTACAAGATGGCCAGATGATAACAACTTCTATGAGGCCACTATAACCCGTTACAATCCTGCTACGGTTTGTTCCAACTTTACCTATTTTTCTCCTTGATGCAGATATGCATCTGTATTAAGTAATTTTACCTACTCTCCTGATCCTTTTCAGGGCGAACATGCTCTTGTCTATGACATGGGCAAAACAACTGAGTCATGGGAGTCTGTCAGGCTTTGTGATGTAAGCATCGTTCAAGCCTTTGATGCTATTGTTCTTTATCTTTCTTCTCTTACTCCTTGCTCCTGATTTGTACACTAATTATGTATTTTCTTTAAGAATTTGATCCATTTTTTTTTCATGTTTTCAACCCTTTGCTATGAATTATCCACCCTTTTTTATATGCTACACGTGCCATAATGTGCTGACTTACTCCAGTAGTGAAGCAGAGGCTGATTGCTCATGTGCCCAATACCATATACTCCCTCCGTTCGGAAATAAGTGTTTCAAACTTTGAACTAAAACATCGCACTTATTTCCGAACTGAGGGAATATAAATTAGTGGGGAAATGATTTGCAGTTGCTGCTGATTTGTTTTCACAATTACGTCGAGAGTGGTATCATGGCTTAAAATTTCCCAATATGAATACCTTTAGTATCCATAGGGGCCGATATTCGGCACTCTAGAGTTAATCTAGTTGACCATTAGTTTAGTCTACATGGAGACTTATGCTTTGTTTTTTCACCGGACTATGGAGATTTGTTTAATCAGTTGTCCACTCTGGCATGGAATAATTTTTTACTTGCTTATTTGCTCAGAATGTATGATCGCCACCTTTTAACTATATAATTAACCAATAGGAGGTGAACAATTCTTTCACAGATGAGACCTGAAGATATAAGATGGGAACGTGATGATCAAGGCATCTCAAATCGAGATGGTTGGGGCCCTTCTGGTCCATTGTTGAACAGGAACCAAAGCAACAATGGTAGAGGGAGACTATCTCAGAATGAGCATCCAAATAAATATGGTCCACCTCAAAATGGCATCAACAGGAATATTGGTGAAATTGACGTGCCTAACACTCAGAGTGTCGTGATTGAGGTAAATTTATATTGAAGGATCGGACATCACAGGGTAGTCAGATACTGTTTGTTGCTCACAACTTTATTTTCTCGATGCAGGTCGAGAGGGTATTGTCAAATCCAAGTATGCATGAAATTGAAAAGGCAAAGAAACTGCTAACAGTGAGTTGACTTGTCTATCTTGAGGTCGTTCCCTGTCGAAAGCAGTGTATGATGGGGAAAGGCTTGCTTGTAATTCCTTAAGTCTATTATTTGAGAACCGTAAGGCGAAGTAATTGTCCTTGCAGGACCAGGAGCAGTCATTACTTGATGCAATTGCCAGTCTTGATGATGCATCAGATAGCGAAAGTGGTAAGTTATTTGCCAATGCTACCTTGAAAAAGCACTGTAAAAGTAATAATATCATTAATGGACAAATTACATTATCTGTATTTCTTTAGAGGTATTCTGGACAATTTCCATGCATTAACTAATGATTACTCGCAGCAATCAGGAATTTATATTTCCATGGATGATACACAAATCAGTTACATTACTACTTTACCTATTTCACTAACCAGTCTTCATATAACAGAGGATAAGGCCATGGAAGCCCGAATGGGTTCTGGTGGTGATCACACGGGTAGGAACGGCATTGCCTGTTAGTTGATATGAGAAGTATGTTGGAAGATTGCCACCTTCCTGGATCATCACTGGACAAAGAAGCCATGTGATGGAAAACTGGACTACCAAAAGAAGGTGGATTTGGCAGTTGCTGCTCCATGAGATGAGTTTATTTGCCTGCTCAAAATTCGGACCTGGCAAGGATGAATCCAGATGGAACGAAAAAGCTTTAATGGCGCCTTTCCTCTCTGATGGACTACAAGTGACTAATTTTCTAGAAATTGTTGTTAACATAAATCAGCTGAAGATTCTTTGTGTTCGGTGCCGACAGCTGATTAACCTTGGCCGAAATCTCCGTTTTTCTTTGCCTCTCCTATGCGCACTGAGTTTTGCAGTGGGCATACTGGCTGTACTGTAGTGTACTCCCTCCGGTCCTTTTTACTCTGCACATTGGATTTGCCGAAAGTCAAACTTAGCTAAGTTTGACCAAATTTATATTAGAAATTATTAGCATCTATAATATCTAATAAATATAATATGAAAATATATTCCGAGATGAATCTAATGATATTGGTGTTGTTATGTAAATGTGAATAATTTTTTATATAAACTTGGTCAAAGTTGGATGAGATTGACTTCAGATAAACCTAATATGCAGAGTAAAAAGGACCGGAGGTAGTACAAAATAATGTATTTTTCCCCATAACAGTTCTGTATTTTGGAATAATTAGTAATCAGTAAACTGAAGGTCCTTGAGAAAAACATTCTCTGTATTTCTTACCGGGACGATAACTCTGAAAAGAAATGTTCTCCCTATCTTTTCTTTTGAAACTGGTGTAACGCGGCGAGCACTTGCCCGATAACAAAACACGCCAACAGGCCACTTGACAGCTCGTTTACGTGTATCCCTCGCAAAAAAAACATAGTTCAAATCTGGACAATTTAACAGTACTTGTAAAGATTATATGTGCTACAGAACATGTAAGCGGGGATAGCTCAGTTGGGAGAGCGTCAGACTGAAGATCTGAAGGTCGCGTGTTCGATCCACGCTCACCGCATATTACTTTTTAAAAAAAAATTATGTTCATCACGGATACATCGTTCAATTAAACAAGCTGTCGTTCTTCCAAACGGCTAAACTCGTGACTAAATTTATATTTACAGCTATAAAATTTATTTCTCTTTCTCTATTGAGGAATTTCTCACGTGGCTTGTCACTGCCATGCAAACAAGCAATGGAATTCTGTGAGCACAACAATGTACAGGAGAGGTTTTGACTCGGTGGTCAACTTAATTGCGTGTAGTCTTTGAAAGGAGCGCAACCCTAGGGTGTTTCATAATCTGGCGCAACGTTCAATCATTGCGTTTGTGGTGCAAAATATTAAACGAATTGCTTAATTGAAAGGGTGTGGGTGCAGGGTGTCTTAGCTCTTTTGTGAGAGTAGTCTTCTTATTTTCGGTGTGGTGTGTACCTGTAACAATGTTTACAGTGCGGATAAGTTCTCTTGTAATTCATAACTTGTATATGGTATGTACTTTACATATTCTCGAAAATAATGATTTTGTGAGCACAACAACGTACATGAGAGGTTTTGACTCGGTGGTCAACTTAATCGCGTGTAGTCTTTGAAAGCAGCGCAACCCTAGGGTGTTTCATAATCTGGCGCAACGTTCAATCATTGCGTTTGTGGTGCAAAACATTAAACGAATTGCGTAATTGGAAGGGTGCGGGTGCAGGGTGTCTTAGCTCTTTTGTGAGAGTAGTCTTCTTATTTTCGGTGTGGTGTGTACCTGTAACAATGTTTATAGTGCGGATATGTTCTTTTGTAATTCATAACTTCTATATAGTATGTACTTTACATATTCTCAAAAATAATGATTTTGTGAGCGCTTCACAACATGAGCGGCGTGCTCAAGCAACATAGTACAAATCTGGCGCAAGAATGTCAGAGTTTGAGTTGAACGGTTGAATCCATCGAGACGCGCACTTACATGAAGCAAAGTAGGTGGGCCAATTCTTATGACTGGAAACCGCAAGAAACTTATGCACGCAATTATGATGCCTACACCACACTTGTTCATTAGTTGGTTGTTGCAGAGACGAGAGGACGAGGAGCACAAGTCAGAGAGTGTTGAGTATCATGGTTATTTAGGAAAGTAGGATAGCATATGATTTATTCTACACTGCCTTGTACTCTAAATGGTCATGTAATCCTATATATCGAAGATAATTTTTCCCGAGCATCAAAATGGATCCTAACCTCCCAAATGTCATCATACAAACTACAAATCAAAGACAGTTTCAAGTAATTAGTAGGCCTAATCCACAATCTATCTTAACAGAACACAAAAGAATGAACAGTTAACCCTAATCCACAATTTGAATGAACAGTTAGGCCTAATCCACAATTTGAGTTGACACGCAAGGAAGAACAATGATGCCTAACCCTAATCCCCATTTGGAGTTAACAGAAAAAGGAAAAAAGTAAACCTAACCCCAATCCCCATTTTCAGTTAGCAGAGAAGGAGGAAAGGATAACTTACATCACACTTCCGATCCATGCGTCCAATGATGGCTAGTGCTAGGGTTCACCACCCAAATCTGTGCCATCCGCACCCGATGCTCCATGGACAACGCCGACTCCAAAAAATCATCAGCGTCGCTGGAGTAGCCGCCACCGTTGTCGATTCCTCCTGTCGCGGCGCTACCTAAGCTGGGAAGGTCTCCACCGATGTTGCTGCCCTCGCCGCTCGCGCCACCTACCGGAGTCGCCGACGCCATTAGCATATTACTTTTTAAAAAAAAATTATGTTCATCACGGATACATCGTTCAATTAAACAAGCTGTCGTTCTTCCAAACGGCTAAACTCGTGACTAAATTTATATTTACAGCTATAAAATTTATTTCTCTTTCTCTATTGAGGAATTTCTCACGTGGCTTGTCACTGCCATGCAAACAAGCAATGGAATTCTGTGAGCACAACAATGTACAGGAGAGGTTTTGACTCGGTGGTCAACTTAATTGCGTGTAGTCTTTGAAAGGAGCGCAACCCTAGGGTGTTTCATAATCTGGCGCAACGTTCAATCATTGCGTTTGTGGTGCAAAATATTAAACGAATTGCTTAATTGAAAGGGTGTGGGTGCAGGGTGTCTTAGCTCTTTTGTGAGAGTAGTCTTCTTATTTTCGGTGTGGTGTGTACCTGTAACAATGTTTACAGTGCGGATAAGTTCTCTTGTAATTCATAACTTGTATATGGTATGTACTTTACATATTCTCGAAAATAATGATTTTGTGAGCACAACAACGTACATGAGAGGTTTTGACTCGGTGGTCAACTTAATCGCGTGTAGTCTTTGAAAGCAGCGCAACCCTAGGGTGTTTCATAATCTGGCGCAACGTTCAATCATTGCGTTTGTGGTGCAAAACATTAAACGAATTGCGTAATTGGAAGGGTGCGGGTGCAGGGTGTCTTAGCTCTTTTGTGAGAGTAGTCTTCTTATTTTCGGTGTGGTGTGTACCTGTAACAATGTTTATAGTGCGGATATGTTCTTTTGTAATTCATAACTTCTATATAGTATGTACTTTACATATTCTCAAAAATAATGATTTTGTGAGCGCTTCACAACATGAGCGGCGTGCTCAAGCAACATAGTACAAATCTGGCGCAAGAATGTCAGAGTTTGAGTTGAACGGTTGAATCCATCGAGACGCGCACTTACATGAAGCAAAGTAGGTGGGCCAATTCTTATGACTGGAAACCGCAAGAAACTTATGCACGCAATTATGATGCCTACACCACACTTGTTCATTAGTTGGTTGTTGCAGAGACGAGAGGACGAGGAGCACAAGTCAGAGAGTGTTGAGTATCATGGTTATTTAGGAAAGTAGGATAGCATATGATTTATTCTACACTGCCTTGTACTCTAAATGGTCATGTAATCCTATATATCGAAGATAATTTTTCCCGAGCATCAAAATGGATCCTAACCTCCCAAATGTCATCATACAAACTACAAATCAAAGACAGTTTCAAGTAATTAGTAGGCCTAATCCACAATCTATCTTAACAGAACACAAAAGAATGAACAGTTAACCCTAATCCACAATTTGAATGAACAGTTAGGCCTAATCCACAATTTGAGTTGACACGCAAGGAAGAACAATGATGCCTAACCCTAATCCCCATTTGGAGTTAACAGAAAAAGGAAAAAAGTAAACCTAACCCCAATCCCCATTTTCAGTTAGCAGAGAAGGAGGAAAGGATAACTTACATCACACTTCCGATCCATGCGTCCAATGATGGCTAGTGCTAGGGTTCACCACCCAAATCTGTGCCATCCGCACCCGATGCTCCATGGACAACGCCGACTCCAAAAAATCATCAGCGTCGCTGGAGTAGCCGCCACCGTTGTCGATTCCTCCTGTCGCGGCGCTACCTAAGCTGGGAAGGTCTCCACCGATGTTGCTGCCCTCGCCGCTCGCGCCACCTACCGGAGTCGCCGACGCCATTAGCGCAGAGCAGCCGAGCAGGAGAGGTAGGGTTCGAGGGGAGAGGTAGGGGGCGACTGACCGAACTGGTTCGAACGAGCCAGGTTAAGAGCGACCGAGGCGGACTCGTCCGAGTCAACACACGGGCACGCGCGGATTGGCCATCGTGGCACCTGACGGGAGGGCCCCATTGGTCAGTTTCAGTGTCAATACCTATTCATACGGCGTTTAGATCGTCCTGTCGCCGCACGCCCTATTCTTGGTACTAACGTGTAAAGATTACATAAAATGGTACCAATCCGCACGCACTGCCCCAATTGTGGCACCTCCATGCAATTACCTCGGTTATATGAAAAAAAATCATGACTTGCAAAAGAGCAAAATGGGCTTAGCTTCATTTTATTTCTTTTCATAGTTGACCGAGCCGCCGCTGAATAGCATAACCCATTATTAAATTTTTGTTTTGCAATAGAAGGCAGCGATTCCCTGATGCTAGACTGCCAGTCATACGCGCAGAAACGCCTCGCTGAAATCCGGCATCGACGTGTTCAG